AATAGTAGCTTAGAAGGAGGGACAGAAGTAAAGATCAGGACACATATGAATGCATCTTGGCCTGGTGCGTTTTTTTCCAACTGCCAGGACTGAGCTCAGAGACCTTAGTACTTTGAGTTTTTCTCCAAGCAGTCTAAAGGGGGCGGGGTTGTTGTTAAATAACTGGGAACCAGAAATCATTGGTAATCCAGAACAAATCACCCAGATATTATACCTTTATTAAAGCACAATGGCAACAAATTATTTCATGTTGGCTTACTTGGGGAAAAAATAGATTCACTCCCCCTCCCCAACCACCTTGGTAAATCTTTCCAAGGTGGCTCAAGTCAAAATATGAAGCGGATGATGAAGCGGGGTTGGGAGATGGCTAGAGCATAGGTGGAGGAAATTACGGGATGAATCTGACCGAACACACTTAAGAGCCCATTATCGGGCCTATGCTGTGGCGGTGAGGGCGGTGAAAAAGAAATTCTTTTCTGCTTCCATTGCCTCCTCACAATGCTGTCCGGCGGAGCTGTTTCGGGTGGTACAAGGGCTGGTTCATCCTGGCCCTAAGAAACATCTGTTACCACCCTCGAAGGCCCGCTGTGACGACTTTGCCAAGCATTTTAGGGAGAAAATTGCTCAGATTCGTCACGAGCTGGACTCCACTAGTGACTCAGAGCCTTCAGGGGAGGAGCCAATGTTGCCGTCTGGTCCACAATTGATGGATGAATTTCAGTTATTGTGGTCTGATGATGTGGACAAGGTGCTTGGACAAGTACGTTCCACCACCTGCTTATTGGACCCTTGCCCATCTTGGCTACTCAAGACAGCCAAGGACGGGATAGGGACCTGGATCCTGGAGGTTGTCAACACCTCTCTAAGGGATGGCCGGGTACCTGCCCCTTTAAAGGAGGTGGTAGTCCGGCCTGTCCTAAAGAAGGCTTCCCTAGATCCAGAGATGGCCACCAATTATAGACCATTGGCCAACATCCTGTTTCTGGGCAAGGTGTTGGAGCAGGTGGTGGCGGGACAACTCCAAGCACTCTTGGATGAAACTGATTATCTGGACCCATTTCAGTCTGGTTTCAGACCCGGGTATGGTACTGAATCTGCCTTGGTCGCCCTGTACAATGACCTGTGCAGGGAAAAAGACAGGGGGAGTGCATCCCTGTTGGTTCTCCTGGACCTCTCAGCAGCTTTCGATGCCATCAACCATGGAATCCTCCTGGATAGGCTAGTGGGATTGGGAGTTGGGGGGCACTGCTTTGCAGTGGTTCTGCTCCTATCTCAATGGCCGATTCCAGAAGGTGGTGCTGGGGGACTATGGCCTCTGCACCATGGCAGCTATGCCATGGAGTTCCGCAGGGTTCCATCTTGTCTCCCATGCTATTTAACATCTACATGAAACCACTGGGAGAGGTCATCAGGAGGTGTGGGCTGCGGAATCATCAGTACGCTGATGATACCCAGCTCTACCTCTCGTTTTCCACCAATCCAGGTGAGGCAATGGCTGTGCTGAACCGGTGCCTGGCCGAGGTAATGGGCTGGATGAGGGCCTATAA